ATGACTTATTTTTTATTATATATAGAATTTAGCTAGCTGGAGAATGTAGAAGTTGTTCTTGTCACTAAGAATTTTTTTGGAAAAGTTTGGACATTATCAATTTATAAGGCATACGCACAAAAAATGATGTAGTTTGCATAATATTTTTCGGTAACATACACGTGATGATCTTAGAGTTTTATTGAGATGTAAAAGTTCACTTTATACATCGTGAACGTTCGTTTGATATTATGAAACTAACTGAGTTTTCTGAAATAGATGTTAAAAAATACGATGTTGCTTTCAATGATTGCAATAGTTTCTCGACATGCTGACTCTACTCGAGTTCAACCGATTAAATAGGAGGCCTTGAGAAATTATAATATTTTAAATGGTGTTAGCGGAAGGTGCGAACTCACGTCAATAAAATGTATTTTATTAATTTTTTTTTATTCAAAACTTGCATTTTATTTACAACATTTAAATCATTTGAAACAATCTGTATAACCTATTGGTTATGTAAATCATTATCGCATGCTTATTTAGCGATTTTTTTCGGTAATATGATATGTTTGATCAAACCAATTGTATTTCAATGCCATCGAAATTCATTCCAAATCAATTATTTCAAATTTATTACGTTCATCACAATCAAATATTCAAGAATCAATTTATAAGTAACTTCGTTCTCTTATTTTTATAATATGATTCCATCCATTTGACAAAAATGTTACTTAAAATTTCTCATTGTTCTCATGATTAACAAGAACTAAATTTTTGCTGTTAATCTCAATGATTCTGTGATACCAACATCTCAACCAAGAACCTCAATCATATAATCATTCCCACAACATCTCTCATACAATTTTGATTGGTCAATAAGAAAAGTTTATTTAATTATAATTCTATTGAAGTTAAAAAAGAAAATTTAATAATTCCTTTTTTAAATTCCTGAATCTTTTATTCTTCAAGAGAATTAATTACCTTGGAGAAAATAGTTTGTAGATGTTGGTTGAAAATATGGAAATATTAGATTCGAATGTAATATTTTTATCGCTACAGAATGATATGGATATATAATTTTAAAAATAAAAATTTAAGCTGCATTGGTTACTTTGAGGATTTTAAAGAACTTATATAAAACAACAACCTTTAAAGTAATTTCTATAGTAAAATGCTAGTAACTAACATTATTTAGAAATTTTTTTTAGAAAAAACATATGTAATAACATTAATTTACAAAAAGTTGTTTCTAAAATCTTAACTGTTAACCGGTTTAAAATTATTTGAATTTATTTTCACCCAGAATTAAGATTTTTATTATATTTACAAAATATTTCTCTAGCGATTAAACTTTGAAAGCCGTAGAATAATGGGACCGTAAAAATTTTGGTTTACCTTATTTGGGATAGATTCACTCTCGGTCATGTGAAACAATCAATCTACATAAATCGTTTTCTGATTTTCATTCCTATTTATTTTTTTTTTTTAATAAAAATTAAAAATAATTAAATTATTAAAGAATGTCGAAGCAATTCTTTATAAAATTAAGTCAAAATTACATATATTGAATTATTAGATGACGACGAATATTATGATGTTACAATTGAAGTGGGTGAAGATCCTAATGTAAAAATATTCAGAGCGCATATAAACATTTTATGCTATCGTTCTCCTTATTTACGAAGAGCTCTATCTTCAAATAAAAGAAATAATGATAATGCGTTGACTAATTTGAAATTGCCAAATATTTCACCGGACAACTTTCAAATTATTTTGAAGTAAGTTTAGTACATAATAATAAAAAGATAAAATATCTTTAAATATTTAATGTATTTTAACTTTATTTTTTTTTATATTTTTGTGTAAATATAGGTACAGTTATGGCGGTATTCTTACGTTGAATGAACAACATGTTTCAGACATCCTTAAGGTCTTGGTAGCTGTTGATAAGCTTCTTCTTCAAGAACTTGTTGATTATTTACAAAAGTATTTAATTGAAAACAAATCAGAATGGATGGAACAACATTTAGAATAAACTTATCAAACAAGTTTTCAATCTAGCAATAGTCTAGAGCTTCAACAATTTTGTACAGATTTAATGGCTAAAACACCTGAGAAGGTATTTAAATCGCTTGATTTCGTTTCGATTTCTGAAAAATCTTTATTATCATTTATTAAAAGAGATGATTTACAAGTGGAAGAATCTGAGATTTGGGACCATGTATTAAAATGGGGCCATGCGCGTAATCCTACCATTAATCCAGATCCTGATACTTGGTCAGACAGTGATTTGGTCACAATGGAAAATACTTTACATCGTTGTTTACCCGTAATCAGATTTTTTAGTTTATCGTCTAAAGACTTTTTACGAAAGGTTCACCCGTATAAAAAGCTATTAAAACATCAACTTTATGAAGATTTATTAAAGTCTTATATAGATTCTGATCATGAGCCAGCTGACTCCATTTTATTTCCTAGGAATATTAAAATTGATACAATTATTGATACAATAATTGTCAATCCAAATATCGTTTCAATGATTTCAAGATGGATTGATAAAATAGATTTAAACAACAAATTCTCTTATTTAAGGGAATTATATTTACCATATGAATTTAAATTACTGTTGAGAGGGAGTCGAGATGGATTTACTTCAAGAATATTTCATAAATTGTGTGATGATCAGATCAATACTGTAACCTTTATTAAAGTAATGGAACTTCAGAAATTCTGGGAGGATATAATCCTATAGAATGGAAGTCTTCGTGCACTTGGGGTAAAACTAATTACAGTTTTATATTTTCTTTTAAGCTTAAGGATAACGTTATCAAAGATGCAATTTTAAGTAACGTTAAGGATGCAGATCGTGCATTCAATTATATTATGTTGTATGGGCCATGTTTTGGTGAAGATCTTACGATGATAACTAATAGTTTATTTGGTAATAAGGTTAGGTATAAACAATGCAATTACGAAAAAAAATATAAGGGATATTAATGTAAGTGAATGTTCCGTACAAGATTACGAAGTATTTCAAATTATTAGAAAAATATAAAACAGAATCTATTTATTTTTTTATTTTTATCTAAAAAGACTAATAAAGTAATAATTGTATCACCTTATAAGAATAATAAATCCTCTTTTGATCAAAAAAGCACAAAATTAGGTTATCTTGAAGATTTTCCGAATTAATAATCTCACATTACTTAAAATATTATAAAGTCATAATGTCATTATATAATTATATCAAATTTAGCAAATATATAAATTTTCTTTTGTTAATATCTTCCATTAAATAAATCGAAATTCAATCTATTTTATGATAAAACATATATATACTAGAAGACCCTTCAAATATTGTAGTCTCATATTTATATCAATGGTTATCCCTATGAAAAAAAGTTTAAAATTTTTATTTTGTTCGAAAAAAAATTTTGTCCAGAAATTAGAACATCGCTAATAATGTTAATACTTATTACAATTTCATAATTTTATCCATTTTCAATGTTTATTAATGATTTTAATAATAATAATCTTTCAGGTGAATTACGAATTTATTGTGAGTTGGAATTTCAAAGTTAATTGGAATAATCTGGGTAAATCTTTTTGGGATCGTATATCTCGCCTCGACCTTATGATCTTTAAAATATCTCGAGCATAACATTGAAAACCGAACTCTTTAAAGAAAAATTTAATTTGTATCAATATCTTTTTTTTTTTTTTTTTTTGTAATATGGACAAATAATTTCAAAAAGGACAAAATGCGTTAGTTAAACTTTTTTTTTTGAAAAAAAATAAATTATTATGTATTTAAGTTGAATAAAAATCATCTGTTAAAAATGATACGTATTGATCAATATGAGTTTGCTATTAAAATTAAATCACGAATATATAAATCTTATGATCCGTAAAATGATTTAATAACAAAACACTTTATTATGGCAAAAAAAGATTTTACTGAAAAAAATTCACGAATGCTCTTGATATAAGGACCAACGTTTATCCATATTGCATTAAGAAAATCTCTCGCGATGATTTTTGCTGTTCGTTTCCAAAAATGTCAATCTTTTACTCAAATGAAAGTAAACATACGTCATTTGCATATGGATAAATCATTTTCCCTTTCATTTCATTTTTCTGTTATAAATGTCCCCTTTTTTTTGATCTTCTACACTTGTAAAAAATAATGACTCTTACAATGTCGTTTACAACGTTCACTTCATCAAATTTAATCGTGATAATCCAATTATTTATAATAACATATGTAGCAAGATATTATTACAAATATTTTACCCGTCAATCGCCTCTTCCCGGTCCATTCCCGCTCCCGTTGGTTGGTAATTTATTTCAAATCGGATTAAATCCAGCGAAATACGCAATAGATCATCACCATGAATTTGGTAAAATGTTTGAAATATGGGTCGGAAACAATCGATTTATTTTTCTCTCTCATCATTCTTTAACTGAAAAAATCTATATATCAAACATAAATAATAAATTCTTTAAAAGAATTCAAGTTCCATATTTGGAAAAGATCGGATTACAACATGGTTTAATATTTAATAATGATTATCAAATCTGGAAACGAAATAGGAAATTCGTTGTATATTCACTAATGTCACCTAGATTCCTTAGACAATTCACTTGGCTAACACAATCATATTTTAATGAAAATGAAAGTTTCTGGGATAAAAAGGAATATCACATTGATCTCGCTAAATGGATAAAACATTTTACAACCGACATCACCTTAAGAACCATTACACGTAGACCTTCATATTGTCTTAATACATTTTTGTTTGGTGAAAACCATACGGATCCAATCAATTCCGAAGAAATTAAAAAATCTGTTAAATTCAGTCATGCGGTTCAAACTTTTTTTAAAGGCGTCATATTTGAATTTTTCGTTCCTAACGTACTTAAACATTATTTTCCGGGATTCTATGATATGAATAAGAATTTCATAAAGAATACGGATTGGTTAAATGAGACAATTTCTGATATTATCAAGAAAAGAAGAATGGAAATTGAGAATGATGATGAGGTAGGTTCGGATTTGATAGATGTCCTATTGACGTTAAACACTCCACGTGATCTGAACGGATATAATGAAAATGAAAAACCAATGAGTGATCAAGAAGTTCGTGCCACCATTATGGAGGTGAGCATAGCCGGTGTAGATACAGTAAGTTTTTAGACCTTGGTAATTCTCATTTTTTGGGTAAAATCTTCAATAAATAATCTTTTGTTCTTTTCCTTTTATCATTAGACCGCGAATACATTCTGTTTCTTAGTTTGGCAATTATCTCATCATCCTAAAGTTGTTGCACGTTTTCGAGAAGAAATGAAAGAAATCCTAGGGTATGACACAACAAGACAGATAACCTATGAAGATTTAGAAAAATTCAAATATCTTGACGCCATTATTAAAGAATCTCAACGAACAATTTCACTTGTACCATTTTCATCCCGTACGTCCACAGGGAACGATGTTATAGGAGGAAAGTGTTGGGGGTCAAATACAATATTCTTTATTCATCATGAACAAATTCATAATTCACTTGATTGTTGGAAAAATCCTGATCAATTTATTCCCGAAAGATTTTTAAAAGGGTCTGGTCATGAAATCGTCAAGAATAGTTTCATTCCTTTCGGAGGTGGTATAAGAATTTGCCCGGGAAGAAATATGGCCCTTGTAGAATTGAAAACTTTGTTGATTTTATTGTATAGAAAATATGATATTGAATTGGTTGATAAGGTCTCGAAGAAACCGAAAACCATATTTGTTGGAACCAATTCTTGCACTGATTTAAAAGTCATTGTACGCCCCAGAAATTATAACAATGTATAAAAAAAAGAGACGGAAATTGGTTAATGGGAAGGATTTATACCTGCTATTTTATTTTTTTTCGTATTAATGATATGTTCTTGATTTTTTATGTAGACAGAATATTTATTTATTTAATGCAAGAGTTGAATACCGAACAAAAATTATTAAATATTTTTTTTTCGATCAATTTACGTGTACATTTTAATAAGCGGATATCTTATATGATTTAATAAATTATATTGAGGTCTGTAAAAATATCAGGAATCAAACAACATTTTTTGGCCTTATTTCATAATTAAATGGTGGTTTGCTATTAAAATCAATTACGAACATAGTAAATCATATGATTTTAATAGAATTATTTAAATATAAGGTTTAAAACTTCTGTTCAAAAAAATATATCTTGAAATGTACCATACAATTTATTTAGGAGTTAGAATTCTAAGAATATCATTTTTTTTTGATCCAAAATGAAATGGAACAAGTTTGCTGACAACCGGTAAGCTGATTATGTTATGTTATCAAAGTTTACAAGTAAACTTCCGACACGTGTGAAACAAAAATTTTTTAGTGGTGAACAATTTCTGTCCCCAGAATACAGAAATCAGTGGGGTGGAAAATCTTGGGGCGATACTTACTTTATGTTATCATATTACGTTTCATCATTTTATTCAATCACCTTTGATAAGGAAACAATGTTTTTGTGTAACCATAAATCGCTCACGCATTTGCTTTGATACGCTAACTTGTTCAATCCATATAAATTAATTACCTGTTGTATCGCCGTGGGGTGAGATCATAATGGTCGAGAAATCTTAGATAAGCAAATTTTATTTCAAATCTAGTGCTGATGACGAAATCATTAATTCATTACAATTTTTGTTGTGTTGTTCCGATGCATGTAATATTTATTTGTTATTTATTTTTATTTTTTTTCGTATTCTTTGATCTTGAGCTATGAGATAAGTTTTATTTTCTGTCATGAGATTAGTTCAGGTTAGAACCATATACATGTATATTATTTGTGTTTTTTCCATAATACTGCTCGGAATTAAGGTTATTGAAATTTTAGCGAAGTCAATCTTATCAAATAAACCTTTCTCGTTTAACTTTTATAATTTTTATATTATTTACCGTCCATTTGATTGAAAGTTAAATTATTACTAAAATAAATTACTGATAAAGTAAAAATTTAAATTAATCACTTTGCGGTTTATTTTTTCCATTCGCTTGAATATCAAGCGGAACAAAAATATTAGACATTTGTCAAATGTGTCGTGCTCTTGCGTTGTGAATTATTGGTTAAGCAAAGCTTTTTTTCTTATTTAGTAGCACTCCGCAATTATAAAACCAACTTGGGTTATAATATTTTATAAATTTTTTTTTCGTAGCATGTTTATCACTAAAGGCAACAAATGCGTTGGGAGAAGCTGACAAATAAGATTTAGGCGAAAATGCAAGTTCGTTTTCGCGGGACGAAGATTACCAAATACAATTTTTTATAATTATTATTTTTGTGAATATCGCAAGGAAGAATTGCGACATATGAAAAAAACGCTATTTTTATTTTTTTCATACTTTTATTTAGTATATGGATATTTTAAGTATTTCGTTATTGTTGATTTTTACCACATTAGTTCTATTCTATTTCAATTAATTTATAAAGTCACATGATTTTAATATGACCGTGCCAAAATGTCACGCACACGTGTACATTTATATTATTAAAAAGAATATAATTTAAAACTTTGCCAAGTAATATTAATAAGATTAAATCGGAATTCCAATTTTAAATAATAAATCCGAAATCTAGATTCCACATATTTCCTCATCAAATTTGTCAATTTTTTTTTTTCAGACAGATAATCGCGACATATCTGGAAATTAGAATGGAATCATTTATATTTAATGAGGGAAATTTATCGGCCGAATTCAGTTATTTAAATCAATGGGATTTCCCTTGCCCACCCACCGTTTCTTAAATATCCTCAATTCTATATATATCGCACTTTAATACTGACAAATTTGTGACGTTTAAAATGGAAGCAAAATGTCAAATTAAAGATTTTGTTGACAAAGGCGTTAATATACAAAAACCTCCTCGTAAAGTTGTTGAGGTGGATGTTCAAGTGGAAGAAGAGGAGGTAGTCAACTCTACAATAGTCAATTTAAATCTTAATGAAAATTTATCAAATATTCGAAAAATACTAGAACAAAAAAGTTCGGTTAATATTAATAGTACACTATCATTTGCGAAATATAAAACTAGCAAAGAAGGGAATACCTTTTCTAAAGTATCAGGTGAAGATGAAGGACACAAGACTTTAATTGAGATTATACAAATGATTAATGATAATGAATCGAGTTACAAATTGCATCTAAGAAAAAGTTCAACTCTAGATTGGAAATACTTAAATAAAAAGAGACAATTGGAATTTGGACGAGTCATCGTTCAAGGTGAAATTAAGGAAGCTGATAAGCAAGCTTATGAGATGAAAGATTGCAAATTAACTTTAATGAATGAAAGTAACAATTATAAATTCGAATCAAAAGAAGAATGGATGAAGGAATCAAAATCTTTCTTTTCCGCTGATATGAATGCTCAATATTACGCGAAATTAGGAATCTCGACCGAAATAAAGAGAAAAGAAAAATCAAGTTCTGAGACTAATATATCATATCATTGCACAAAGTATGAAAGAGCTTCTTTAGAATTTGGTAAATTTTTAAAACCAAGAATAGAATTTATTGATGCGGTGAAGGATGCTTTAAATTCAAAGGACGTAAAGAAGTTTAAAATAATCCTCGAGGAATTTGGTCAATTCATCTCAACTGAAGTTATCTTGGGTGGTAAAGCTTATATTGAAGGGTCAAAGGTTTCAAAGGAACTTTCAAAGTTAAGTTCTAGTGAAGTTTCAGCGAATCTAAGTACCGGACCCGCAGTTGCTAAAGCAGGACTTGCTTCCAAATCTTCGAATGGAAGTTCCGATTACACACAACACGATTGTTTAAAGTTAATCGGAGGAAAGGTGCCCGACATTACAAAGTTTGACGAAGATTCTTGGTATAAATCCTTGAGTGATTATAGAAATTGGGATTGCATAGAATTTCGAAATCCTGTTTCTATTTTTAAATTTTTAATGAAGACAGAATTACAAAAGGATATCATTTCACTCGTTGGAAAAAAAATTATTTATTCAAAAGTTGAATCCATCGATTATTTGTTGGAGTCACGTGGAAAACCCAAGATTGTTGAATTGGTAGATATACCATCCAATGTTTTAAAGATTATAAATAACAAGGACGCTGATTGTAACTTTTTCGCAACGGTTATTGACACTAAGGATGAGAAAAATGATTTCTTTCATTGTCAAATACTTTATTCATCAGACGAACAACCAAGCCTTATAATTCATTGCATTCAAAATGAATTTAAAAAACGTGAATGTAAATTGAAAATCCGATGGATGGTTATTGGTTATCGCACAGATTTGGATTTTGCCCTCACGGATTTTGATGTTCAATTAAATATCGAAAGATTTGATTTTGATACGTCAAAAGGTGCGAACATGTCCAATAGGGAGTTATTGAAATTTAAACCAAGTCCAAAGAAATTTTCTTTCTTTGGAATCCCTGCGTTAAATAATTTAGATAATGAATTTGTCGTTATTGGTCATCATTTTTATAAAACTAAGAACAATGGTATTGGATTATATGTGTTCGCTTATGATTTAAAGAACAATCATTATGTTAATTTACCCAAATTTACGTTTTATACACTCGTCATTTCAAATTATCATAATTCCAGTGCTTATGGCTTATCTTCATTTGAATGTAATAATACGGATTTGCCAAAATATTTTAGTCTATATTCCAAAGAAGAAAAGAATTGTGGTCCGATTTTTCTGAAACAAAAACAACATGAAATTAAAGCAAAACAAGTCCTTGATAAAATGTGTAATCAAGACTCCTGCATTTGCAAAAATGAACCATTCAAAAAGGCAAATGATGATTTGGAATATTATTTTTTCAATCCAGGTATGTTCTCATTAATTATGTATCATTTTCCAAGCAAGAGATACGTGATATTAAATGAACATAATTTTTTTTAATACTCCTTAGAAAATTTCTGAACCACAATGCATTCACTTGACGTATAAAATTTGCATGTATTATACTGTATATGATATGAAATATCGATTTAAATAAAACTTTAAAATGATGAAAATTCATCAAATGAAGGGTTCACGTTTACGTCAAATTTAAATTTGTAATGGAATGTTTCTGATTATGTGAATAATCGTAAGATTGTGCAAAGTAATTTTTTTTTTTTACAAGCCTTAGATATTATAAATATTGGTGCTTTTCGAATCACGCAATTATAAAAAACCATATCACGTGATTGATAAACCTTTTCGAAATCAAAATGCCTGCCTATCATACTGTACATGTATGAATAAGCCATAATTCTAAAGTTTTAAAAGAGTGGGAAAGTTTACCTGTTGAAAAAGAAAAAATAATAAAAGAATTTTGAAGATATATCAGTTTCATACTTATCACTTGATTTGTGATATACAAGTAAACTTTAGTATATAGAAAGTATTGGAGAAATGATTTCAGCACAATGCATTGCTTGGAAAGCTGCATGTTAATATGATACCAATTTCTTTCCATATTGTGAAGAATGTAATATATCAGTTGAAAATAAAAAGAGAAGCAAAGAAAATAAATTGTAAAATCAAGCAAACCGAGAAATGTTGAATAATAAATGAATACGATAAAATAAAGCTTTAGTCTATTAGGGATTGAAATCATTTAAAAAACCAAAATCAAAGTTGAATTAACAAAAATTGATTTTTGAAATGATTAATCAGCAGCTGATTTTTAATTCCAGTTTTGAAAATCAAAATTCGGTATTAATTTTTTCAATTTTTTTTAATTATAGAATAGTCATAAAGCTTTAAAAAACAATCTTTAAGCAAAATTTGTATTATAATCTTTATGTATTAGAAAATAAAAGCTAAAGATATTAATCAAAAGTTTATGTTTTAAAAGTTGTGAGCTATCACATGACACATATTTTTTTAACTTAATATACTTACTTAAGGATTTGATATACAAATATGAATCTTTTATAAAGAATTTCTAATAATAAAATGAATTAATTTTTACAATTATTTTGACTTCATCATTATTTTAAAGCTTTTCATTTAGCTTATTATCATATTATTTATATTATTTATAATAGAAAAGATATCTATCAATTTTATACAAACTAATAAAAATCAATCTAAAGCCAATATTATTTACTGAGTTTAAGATTCAAAATTATTATTATAATCAACTTTTGACTCTGATGATTTTTTGACTTTTAATTTCATACCTTATAATTTATAAATATTTGTAGCAATAAAATTATACTTCGAAATTATGTGATAAAATTTCTACATATAAAAATTTTTGATTAAAATCCAAAAAAGTGACTCAACTATATAATGTAAACTAAAAATTCCAATTTAACTTTTTTACAAAACAATTAATATTATATATGAAAAAATATAATAGATAAAAATAATCATATCATACTATTCTAACAAAATTTTACACTTTCTGTAAGTATTTTTTATATTAAAAAGTTATTTTTGAACAATTTTATTAAGTTCAGTTTTTCATCATTTGCATCTATTAAATCTGATAATCTAAAATAAAACCATTCTTATTATCTAATAGATTTAATATTACATCTGAATATAAAAAAATTCTGTAAAGATTAGGTTTTCAAACAATATTCTTATAATTTCTTACTACCTTCAAAATAAAAAAAACATGAAGTGTGATGCTTTCAAACAATTATTTTATATTAATAAAAATAATTAAAATAAAAGAAAATTCATATAGAATTTTTTATAAAAGAAATTTTATGATAAAATATATTATAACGTTTATTTATCATAAAATAACTTTATTATGATTAACTAGAAATTGCAAATAGTATAGGACTTCATTTTATTGATCTACTCTAATTATTATAATGCGATTTAAAAATCTTTATTTATAATATAATAAAATAAATTATTACTTAAAATATATATATAAATTGTTTGTTTTTATATAAAAAAAATCAAATTAATTATAATAAAAGCTTAAGAATATAAAGAAACAATACACACTTTATACTAATCTGCTAAAAATATAAGTAATAGTAATTTTTTATAATAAACAAAAAAAATAAAAAAAATCTAAAATCAGGATGTTCATATAAATGCATAACTTCTTATATATACATGTACCTCTGAATCTAATTATAAGCTTACAACTTAGAAATTAATACATCCTCTATATTTTAGATTTTTTATTCTATTATATAGATTAGTACATATAAAAATCATGCTATAAAACTATATAAATCATATAATCAAAACCTAATTTTCATATGTAATGATCAATATATAATATTTCCTTTATATAACTTTATAATAAGTATTATTACATTCTAATAATAACAACTCTATCAAAATAATAAAAATAATTAAAATAATTATTTTCTTAAATATATAAAAAAAGTTGAAATTTATCTAATTCTATAAATAATTAATATTCAGAATATATCCTTAAATAATCTAGACAGACAATTTCCAGATTTTAATATATTCAAAATTTGTACTGAATTATAAAATATTGGAATTTATTTAAAATTTATGCTTAAAAATTTATTTAACAAAATAAAACTAAAATAAAATATAATATATTATTTTTACTTACTTTGCATGTTTATTTTAAATAATTAGAAAGATTTTTAATATCAATTTTATGTTATTTACATTTTTTATACAAATTTTATCAAATAATTACTCTTTTAGAAAAATACAGAATTTGTCTAGTTAATTTTAATCAGAAATTTTTTGTTCAGAATTTATCTGTTCTAAAAATTAGAATTCTGAAATAATTATAAATTCTGAACATAGATTTTTATCTCAAAAATATAGTTTTTAGGTAGATATTTTTCAGACATTTTTAAGATGAACTCAAACATTTTCAGTGATATTTTTCGGACTTTAATTTTTTTATAGAGTAAAAATTTGAATAGAAAGTAGATAATCAATAATAAATTTATTTATTTTGTTTAAAAACCTTTAGCTTACATAATAAATTCATTTATCTTTATAATATATTAGCTATAAAGTCTTTTATAATCTATGATAATAATATTGCAAAATCTAAAATCTTATACAAAAGTATCAATATTATTATTTAAAATAAAATTCTCAAACTATTCTTTTATTTTTATAGCTACTTACTGTGATTAATTTTCTAAAGTATAGAAATTATAGTTTACATTGTAACAGTGTAAAATTTTGGCTAAAGTCTGATTACAAATCCAATGTCAATTAAATGTCCTTGTTTATCATCTCGTCGATCCTGATGTCAACTTTATGTCCTGA